TAGGGTTCCTGCTCAGCAGTCATATTGCAATAGGCCCAGTGGGAAGAAGTTAATATATATCCATTGAGCTTTCTGAGATATATATAAGCAGCCAGGAGGTATATCAAGCTACTGTCATTTACGAAAAATACAGCATTAATTGTGGCTGAAATATCTTTTAAAAATGAGCCATATGTGGGCACCAAATGATTCAGATGTTTCCAATAAAGAAACTAAATAATGTTACAGCAAACAAAACATCCTGGACAGCTGTGTACTTACACCGTTCTGGCAACAGTTTCAAGGCCCTTTTCTGTTCTAGCATGATTGTACCCCTGTGTACAAAGACACCTTCATAAAACCAAGTGTGGAGGAACTGAAGTGGCCTGCACCTCAATCCTGCTAAAACCTTGGGGAGGAAGTTTGGACACAGTGGGGAAAAGCTAATAGCTTTTAAAACAGATTGTATTTCTGTCTGTGACCCCATGAGTGAAGTTGCCAGATTCTTACGCGCCCCCACTTTACTAAAATATTATTTATTTTTGTCTGTGTCCCATAGGACAGATCTCCCATCATCTCACCATTGTAGACAAAGATGGCAATAAAAAAAAGCTGAGAGTTTCATACCCTCCCCGTCTCTGTTCAAAACTGAATGAAACATTTTACAGACAGATGAAAAACATGATTTACAAGGATCAAGATTGTTTCAAATTTCTGTTAATATAACCTTGTAATTTATTTGTATATTAATACCTGAAACATGTTTTTGGCAAGTGCCTCTATGCAAATTGCATTCACTTTTTCTACATTTATCTTGGTCACATTTACAACAGGATGACAAGGCTGTACAACAGACCAAGTGACTGCAGAAATCGCTTTTTAATTCACGCTGGCATTGCTGACTACTTGGCAAGGGAAAGCATTTCTGTAGCCTTTCATTTGGTTCAGCTTTGTAATACTTCCATGGTGTCAGACCTCTCACTTAGTCTAGACACTGCAGAAAATTATTCAACATGGCTATGCCCATAGTGACTGTATTTGTACAAAGTAATATTACTGTGGACGTTTAGGTACTTGGCAAAAATAACTTTGTGTAATTAGTATTCCTTCAAGTCCAAGCACTGTCTTGTAGGAGACAGATTGTTTTTAACCAAGGTGGAACTACATTGATATTATTGCTTAGCAACCTGATCTTTGCATTGCTTTTGCAGCATTGTAAAGTGACAAAAGCTTTAAAACATAATGCTTGATCTTTAAGAGAAGTGATAATTGCAGAGGAAGACATTCATTTCCCCAGCAAACAAGAAACATCTTTACAAAGCACAGTGTGGAATAGAACACAATGAACTGCATATACTGGTATGTAAGAAGAGTGACTAAATAATTGCAGAGGAAGACATTCATTTCTCCAGCAAACAAGAAACATTTTTACAATGTGCAGTGTGGAACAGAACACAATAAACTGCACATACTAGTATGTAAGAATGACTTTCTTGAAGCTGAGTGTTGCGACAGCTAGCACCTCGCCTTCTGTACAAATACTTGGAATACCAAAAGAAAATCCTGTTCTTTATAATTGATTCATTTTATTTATTCCATTTCTATTTACTTCTTTTTTTTCTGAGCCAATGCTACATCATTTACCTGTGATTTTGTAGTGATTTCTTGCTCAAGTTAGTGCTCTATATTTCTATGTACATTCTATGTACATATTTTCATGTACACATTTGGCATGCTTCTTTAAAGCATTACTAAAGGTAACATTGTTTTTTTTTATGAAAATATTAAACATGTTATACTTACCTGCTGTGTGCAATGGTATTGCACAAAGAGGCCCCAAACCTCCTCTTTTGGGGTCCCATGCTAGTTATCTTAGCTCCTCCTCTTCTTCTTGTGACTCTATACCAAGCCACTTGCTATGGGGGCCACAGTGCGTCCCTCTCCCAAGCTGTGTGCATTTATAGTAGACATCTGCAATTTGTTTCGTTTTGATTCGTTCCTTGGACGAAAATTTAATTTTCAGAGATTCAGATGTATCTGAATCTCTGCATGGACACAGAAATGAATGGCAACAAATAGAAAAAAAGTGATAATGAAATGAATTAATTTGTTTTATTCGTTTTATTCAGATGATGTCGCATGATGCAATAATAGTTCAGGCCCATACGGAAATTAATTACATAAACAATATAATTTATTAACACTAACAATACAAACATAAACGCAGTGCAATACTAAACATAATACAGTGCAAACAAACCAAACCAACCACCCACAGATAACAGTACATACAAGCAAGCGTCGTCAGGCAGGCCGGGTCAATATCAATTGGGCAGGTAGGTACAGGGGGAGCAAGCGGAGATTGGTCGGGGTCACAGGCCAGGTTCAGCAGGTGGCTAGCAGCGTAGTACAGAGGGTCAGGCAGAGGGATGGTCAGGGTCACAAGCCAGGGATCAGAAACAGGTAGCAGGCAGCGTAGTACAGAGGGTCAGGCAGAGGGATGGTCAGACAAGCCAGGGATCAGAGCAGGGTCAGCAGAGAATCAGACAGGAACAGAGAGCAGGAACAGGATACAGGGCCCAAGAGAAACACAACACCAAGGCAGAGTCTGCAAGTCTGGCCATCCCTTAAATACCCCAGCATAATCAGTTCCAGGTGTTAGCTGGCTGCAAAGTTGAGTCTCTGATTGCTGGGAGCACCCGCTGGCCAGCCCTGGTACTGCAGATCAAAAGGCAGGTGAGTCCCACCATTGCTGGCTAGTCCATTCCTGACAGTACCTCCCCCCCCCTCAAGGAGCGGCCTCAGGACGCTCCAAACAGTCCTAGCTGGGCAAAATGTTCCACCGCCCGGGTCTGGTAACTGGCGGGATATCAAAGACTGGCACACCGGGCAGGACTCCGGGCAGCGGCACACCGGGCAGGACTCCGGGCAGCGGCACACCGGGCAGGACTCCGGGCAGCGGCACACCGGGCAGGACTCCGGGCAGCGGCACACCGGGCAGGGCACCGGGCAGCGGCACTCCGGGCAGAGGCACATCGGGCAGGACTCCGGGCAGAGGCACATCGGGCAGGACTCCGGGCAGAGGCACATCGGGCAGGACTCCGGGCAGAGGCACATCGGGCAGGACTCCGGGCAGAGGCACATCGGGCTGGACTCCGGGCAGAGGCACATCGGGCTGGACTCCGGGCAGAGGCACATCGGGCTGGACTCCGGGCAGAGGCACATCGGGCTGGACTCCGGGCAGAGGCACATCGGGGACTCCGGGCTCCGGGCAGGCAGAGGCACGGGCTGGACTCCGGGCAGAGGCACATCGGGCAGGACTCCGGGCAGCGGCACACCGGGCAGGACTCCGGGCAGCGGCACACCGGGCAGGCACACTCCGGGCAGCGGCACACCGGGCAGGGGCACACCGGGCAGGGCAGGCGGGCAGAGGCACAGGCGGGCGGACTCCGGGGAGGCACCGGGCAGGACTCGGGGCAGAGGCACATCGGGCAGGACTCCGGGGAGGCACGGGCAGGGCAGAGGGGCAGGGGGGAGGCACTCCGGGGGGGACATCGGGCAGGACTCCGGGCACAGGGCATCGGGCTGGACTCCGGGCAGAGGCACATCGGGCTGGACTCCGGGCAGAGGCACATCGGGCTGGACTCCGGGCAGAGGCACATCGGGCTGGACTCCGGGCAGAGGCACATCGGGCTGGACTCCGGGCAGAGGCACATCGGGCAGGACTCCGGGCAGAGGCACATCGGGCAGGACTCCGGGCAGAGGCACATCGGGCTGGACTGGACTCCCGGGCAGAGGCACATCGGGCTGGACTCCGGGCAGGGCAGGCATCGGGGGACTCCGGGCAGAGGCACATCGGATTACCAGGCGAGCAGCAGCAGGCACCGGGCCCCCGGGCGGGGGCGACGGGCATCGGGCCCCCAGGCGGGGCGGGGGCGCCGGACCCCCAGGTGGAGCGACAGGTCTCGGGCCCTCAGGCGGAGCGGCGGGCGCCGGACCCCCAGGTGGAGCGACAGGTCTCGGGCCCCCAGGCGGAGAGACAGGTCAGGTCATTTCGGCCCCCAGGCAGGCGGGCGGCGGGCGCCGGACCCCCAGGGTGGAGCGACAGGTCTCGGGCCCCCAGGCGGAGAGACATGTCTCGGGCCCTCAGGCGGAGCGGCGGGCGCCGGACCCCCAGATGGAGCGACAGGTCTCGGGCCCTCAGGCGGAGCGGCGGGCGCCGGACCCCCAGGTGGAGCGACAGGTCTCGGGCCCTCAGGCGGAGCGGCGGGCGCCGGACCCCCAGATGGAGCGACAGGTCTCGGGCCCTCAGGCGGAGCGGCGGGCGCCGGACCCCCAGGTGGAGCAACAGGTCTCGGGCCCTCAGGCGGAGCGGCGGGCGCCGGACCCCCAGGTGGAGCGACAGGTCTCGGGCCCCCGGGCGAAGCAACAGGTCTCGGGCCCCCAGACGAAGCGGCGGGCACCGAGTCACCAGGCACGACAGTGGGCACCGAGTCGTCTGGCAAGACTGCGGGCACCGAGTCGCCTGGCAAGACTGCGGGCACCGAGTCGTCTGGCAAGACTGCGGGCACCGAGTCGTCTGGCAAGACTGCGGGCGGGCACCGAGTCAACTGGCGGGGGCACCGAGTCAACTGGCGGGACTGCGGGCACCGAGTCAACTGGCGGAACTGCGGGCACCGAGTCGTCTGGCAAGACTGCGGGCACCGAGTCGTCTGGCAAGACTGCGGGCACCGAGTCGTCTGGCAAGACTGCGGGCACCGAGTCGTCTGGCAAGACTGCGGGCACCGAGTCGTCTGGCAAGACTGCGGGCACCGAGTCGTCTGGCAAGACTGCGGGCACCGAGTCGTCTGGCAAGACTGCGGGCACCGAGTCGTCTGGCAAGACTGCGGGCACCGAGTCGTCTGGCAAGACTGCGGGCACCGAGTCAACTGGCAAACTGCGGGCACCGAGTCAACTGGCGGAACAGCGGGCATCGAGTCAACTGGCAAGACTGCGGGCACCGAGTCGTCTGGCAAGACTGCGGGCACCGAGTCGTCTGGCAAGACTGCGGGCACCGAGTCGTCTGGCGGAACAGCGGGCATCGAGTCACTGGCAAGACTGCGGGCACCGAGTCGTCTGGCAAGACTGCTGGCAAGACTGCGGGCACCGAGTCGTCTGGCAAGACTGCGGGCACCGAGTCGTCTGGCAAGACTGCGGGCACCGAGTCGACTGGCGGAACAGCGGGCACCGAGTCGTCTGGCAAGACAGTGGGCTCCGAGTCAACAGGCACGACAGTGGGCACCGGGTCATCAGGTATCGGATTGTCTGGCTCGACAGCGGGCATCGGGTCACCAGGTATGACAGCGGGCACTGGGTCACCAGGCATCAGGTCATTTGGCTTGCCAGCGGGCACCGCGTCATCTGGCAAGGCAGTGGGCACCGGGTCACCAGGTATGACAGCGGGCTCTGAGTCAATTGGCACGACAGCGGGCACTGGATCAGGTACCGGATCATCTGGATCAACAGCGGGCATCGAGTCAACTGGCCTAATAGGATCGTCGGGCTGGATCAGTTCATCATGCTGAGTAGCGGCATCAGGCTGAATGCAGGCATCAGGCCGAGTAGAGGCTTCAGGCTGAGTAGAGGCTGAGTAGAGGGCATCAGGCTGAGGAGGAATCAGGAGAGGCATCAGGCTGAAGAGAGGCATCAGGCTGAAGAGAGAGGCAGGCTGAAGAGAGGCATCAGGCTGCTGAGAGGCATCCGGCTGAAGAGAGGCATCAGGCTGAAGAGAGGCAGGCTGAAGAGAGGCTTCAGGCTGAGAGAGGCTTCAGGCTGAGTAGAGGCTTCAGGCTGAGTCACGGAAGGCAGGTTCACCGGTTTGGATACTGGCAGGATGGTATTGGTTGGAAAGAATTTTCGCTTTTTTCTGGTTTTAACTACTGGAGCACTGCAAGTAAACGCAGGTCTGCAAACGAATGGAGCAGCTGGAGACAGAGAAAAACTGGAGGATGGAACAGGAGAGGGAGCAGTTGCTACAGAGGGCTTTTTTACAGGGTTAAAGGCAGGATAGGTGCAGCGAGTGGGAACAGGGTACTGACATGCGGTAGATAGCCAAGTATACTGGGCTGTAACTGGAGGAGCTGGTGGGAATACAGGAGTAGAGTTAGAAGCAGGACTGGGTTTTTGTAAGCTGACTGAGGCTGGGGGTGCAACAAGTCTGTCCATGTCTGCAGTAGGGGTTGAACAAAGCTGAGCTTACACAAAGCCTGTCTGGTCAATGACTGCACTGCGTTTATACAATCTCTTAGTGTCTGTGGTGAACATGTGGAATAACGCTCCAGAAAGTAACCCACATCATCCTCTAATAACCACACCAGGGACTCTACCTGGTCTGCACTAAATGGTGGCAAAAATTCATCCCTGCATTGGGGGAACCAGATGAAACCAACTCAGCACAAACCTCAATCAAAGGCTGCACCTCAGAGAACTCTGTGCCCTGATCTACTAGAACATGAGCGAGCCGTATACATTCTAGTAGTTGATCCCTGGGATACTCCTTCAGAGTTTGATAAGCATACTCCCTGTCATCAAACACTAGCAGAGATAAATACACAACCTCATCCAGATCCATCCTTCCCAGCAACAAGCCAAGATGGCTTCCCTGTGCAGCCACTTCTGGTCAGGATTGGCCTTGGTGTAATGTCAGGGCTCCCAGGTGTGACCAGAGGTGTGTGACTGACGCAGGGAAACGCAGACTTCAGATATGTGATAAACAATATAATTTATTAACACTAACAATACAAACATAAACGCAGTGCAATACTAAACATAATACAGTGCAAACAAACCAAACCAACCACCCACAGATAACAGTACATACAAGCAAGCGTCGTCAGGCAGGCCGGGTCAATATCAATTGGGCAGGTAGGTACAGGGGGAGCAAGCGGAGATTGGTCGGGGGGTCACAGGCCAGGTTCAGCAGGTAGCTAGCAGCGTAGTACAGAGGGTCAGGCAGAGGGATGGTCAGGGTCACAAGCCAGGGATCAGAACAGGTAGCAGGCAGCGTAGTACAGAGGGTCAGGCAGAGGGATGGTCAGACAAGCCAGGGATCAGAGCAGGGTCAGCAGAGAATCAGACAGGAACAGAGAGCAGGAACAGGATACAGGGCCCAAGAGAAACACAACACCAAGGCAGAGTCTGCAAGTCTGGCCATCCCTTAAATACCCCAGCATAATCAGTTCCAGGTGTTAGCTGGCTGCAAAGTTGAGTCTCTGATTGCTGGGAGCACCCGCTGGCCAGCCCTGGTACTGCAGATCAAAAGGCAGGTGAGTCCCACCATTGCTGGCTAGTCCATTCCTGAACAATTATATAAATTGGACCAAATAAATGCTCAGAGAAGATAAAAGTCTAGTGGCACATGCATTGCACCAGCTGGATGAAACAACTTCAAATCTTATCAGGAGCTTATCAGAATTAAAGAATTTGAGGAAGAATTGTTTTGTGTCAGAAGGACATTTTAACACATTGAGTTCATACGTAACATGATTTAAGAACATTGGTGACATCCAGTGGTAAACCTCCTGAAGCCTTAAATGCCTGTTAACAAGCAAAATGAGTAACTCTGTTTCACAGCAAATGTAAATGGAATAGGAAATAACTTACATTCTGTATAAATATAGAGACATGTATATATTTGTGAATAGCAGTAAGCCGATTTATTTTAAGTAATACTGTATCCAGACAGCTAAATACACATCTGAGGCAGACTGCTGTGATCTGTTGTATATGCCAAATATTTGTCACTAGCAGACATATGCATGTTAGCTGATCTGTAGAAAAGAATTTTTCAAACAAAATGCACCTCTGACCAAATACAGAAGTGTAAAATGTATGTGAGTATGTCAGAATACATTAGAACACATTTGTGTGGCAGTACAAAATAGCTAAATACTGAATTTAAGTTTATGATCATGTTTAGGCTTGAGGTGATTTATCAAATCAATGATCACATTTATCAAATTATAGGGGAAATTTTCCTGTTACAGCAAGGAATTTGAAACCAAGAGAAGCATGCCCTTGCTACCATTATGTTTTTTGTGTGTTTTTTATTTTATTGGTACCAGTTGTTGTATGTGAGTTCTTGGGATTAGAACAGTCACTCATGCATTTAGGCAACTGCTTTGAAATGTCTTTTATGTAGGATTGTGTTAGCAGTGTGCTCATTTCTAATAGTTTTTATGCCTCTCTGACCTATTTTTTCGATAAATTCATATTGCACTTGCAGCAAAAATCTCTAATTTATCCATAGCAACTGCACACAATAGAATAAATTTAAAGTGTTACTAAACCCAGGGCCCTGCATTCACTATATATGGTCTCTCACAATGCACAGAACATGGAAATGCAATTATTTTAGTAAATATAAACTTGTCATCAGCAGTTAGAGCAGTCTTGTGACTTCTATCAGTGTCTGGCCAAGCACTGGTTAATCTTGTAGGAGGAGTTTTCATTCTCCTCTGACTGTCCTATGAGTCTGCAGAACTCCTAACCCTCTGTCTGGACAGTGCTAATTGGTCCAGTGCTGATCACATGCACTCTACCAAAGGAAAAAAAAACTCTCTAGCATTACACAGTAAACTCAGCATGTACAGAGTGACTCCTAGAGCTCTGTACTATCAGCAGATGGATTGGAGACAGTAGACGAAGGGGAGGATCAGAGAAGATCGGATCAAACAGCCTTTTTACACAATGCAGAAGATTATCCCCTTAGGCTCCACAGTGAGTATAACAAGCATGCTTACTGCATATACAGACTGATGTTACTGTTGTGAGTTTAGTAACACTTTAAAGTGATATTGAAGGCATTTAAAAAAAAAACAAAAACAAATGTGTCATACTTACCTGCCCTTTGCAGTGGTTTTGCACAGAGCATCCCCTATCCTCCTCTTCTCCAATCCCCCAACAGTGCTCCTGGCCCCTCCCTCCTGCCAGGTGTCCCCACAACAAAGTTAAAAAAGCTATAGATAGTAAGAAAAGCGCTTTTACTGAATATAAAAATGAAGGAACGCTATCATTGTTTAAACATTACAAAGAATATAACAGAATATGCAAAAAGGAAATAAAGGCTGCAAAAATTGAAAACGTACGACAGATTGCAAAGGATAGCAGGACAAACCCCCCAAAATTCTTCAAATATATTAACAGTAAATAGGTCAGGTCTGACCATGTAGGCCCTTTACAAAATAATCTACAGTGGGTGACTGAGGACAAAGAGAAGGAAAATTTAATACATATCTTCTTCAACTCTGTGTATACAAAGGAGCTTGGGGGAGAAATTGATACAGAAATATTTAGACAGAATAAAGGTGAATAAAGCACCTGGAGAGGATGGCATACACCCACAGGTCCTTAAAAAATTGAGCTCTGTCATTTCAAAGCCATTGTTTCTAAATTTTAGGGACTCTTTAATAACTGGCATAGTACCACTGGATTGGCGTAAGGCCAATGTGGCGCCCATATTTAAAAAGGGGTCAAAATCTTTACCAAGTAATTATAGACCTGTTAGTTTAACTTATTTAACTGGGAAGATACTGGAGAGTTTAATAAAAGACCACATAGATGAGTTTTTGCTGGAAATAAATATTTCAAGCAACAGACAGCATGGATTCATGAAAGATAGAAGTTGTCAAACAAATATGATTTCTTTTTATGGGGAGGTGAGCAAAACCTTGGACAGAGGGGTGGCTGTGGATGTGGTATACTTGGATTTTGCAAAAGCGTTTGACACAGTTCCCCGCACACGGCTAATGTGTAAAGTAAAGTCTATGGGCTTGGAAAAAGCTGTATGTAAATGGACAGAAAACTGGCTAAAAGATTGTATTCAGAGAGTAGTGGTTAATAATTCATACTCTGAATGGTCTAGGGTTGTCAGTGGTGTACCCCAAAGTTCAGTGTTGGGACCCTTACTTTTTAATATATTTATAAATGATATAGGGTCTGGTGTTAAAAATCCCATTTCAGTCTTTGCAGATGACACCAATCAGTGCAGTGGAATAACATCCTTACAGGATGTCTCCAGCTTACAAGCCGACCTCAATGCACTGTTTAATTGGGCAACTATGTGGCAAATGAGGTTTAATGTTGATAAATGTAAGGTTATGCACTTGGGGGCTAAGAATATGCATGCATCATACATACTAGGGGGGTACAACTGGGGGAATCAATGGTGGAGAAGGATCTGGGAGTTCTGGTAGATCACAAGCTTAATAATGGCATGCAATGCCAAGCTGCAGTTTCTAAAGCGAGCAAAATCCTCTCTTGTATTAAAAGAGGTATAGACTCCAGAGAGAGAGATATCATATTACCCCTGTACAAATCATTAGTAAGACCTCATCTGGAATATGCAGTTAAATTTTGGGCACTGATTCACAAAAAGAACATTGGGGAACTGGAGGAAGTGCAGAGAAGGGCAACTAAACTGATATGAGGCATGGAGGAGATCAGCTATGAGGAAAGATTAGAGGAACTGAATTTATTCTCTCTTGAG